TCTTCAGCAATAAAATATTTCCTGTAGATAAGTTGATTATAATAGAATTCTTAATACACTCATTTAATTTCATTCAGAAGAGTTATCAAAAGGCTATCAGTTATTGGCGAAAAAAGTATTTTAAAACATCTATTACAAAATACACTAATTACATTCATATTATATACATTTAAATATTAATATATGTTCATAGTAAGTCACTCTATACATGTTTTATCTCCTTACTTTCCATATACTCGGTCGTGGATGTCCACAAGTCTCAACTGTAGTGTAACTCGATTGCTGGGAGATGGCCTTCAATGGATATTCAGGATGCATCAACACCTTCAGCTACACAGAACAATTATCAACCACTCAGGCGAGGCATGCATACATTATAAACTACGAGATTATTATATAATATGTATATAAAAGAAAGTTGTGTTAGTTACACTATTTATAACTCAAGAACGGCTTTATATGGTTGAAAATTAGTGAAGAGATAGATTAGAACAAGGAGACGGACATAAGATATTTAATTCTGTTCGATCGAAACAGAAAAAATACTTAATAAACTCCAATATTTTATTATTTATGGCTTCTGGGACGAAATACAGTTCGCCCGGTCAGCTATACATACCTATGTATATTACTAATCCCGAAATTAACGTGGACGAAGTCACGGGTAAAAACTAGTATCTTTATATACAAAAGAAAGTCATGAAAGTTACTGGATTCATAACTCAAGAACGGCTGTATGAGTTAAGCTGAAAATTGGTGGAGAGATAGCTTAGAACAAGGGAAAAAACATAGGATACATTTCATCCAATTGAATAAGTAAAATAAATAAGTTGATCAAATACAAAATCTTCTCATCTACTGTATTTAAGGATGAATAGAGTTCGTCCTATCAGCCATACATTTCTAATGCTGAAAACGCAGACAAAGTCGCGGGCAAAAACTATTTGTATTGTAAACAACATAATCTCCACCGCCGACATCGCAGGTCGGTTCATTTAATTACATTCTGTCTACATTATTATTAATTGCCTTCGTCTTTATTAGCGTCGTCTTGATATTTTTGAAGCAATTACGACAACTCTTTGAGAGCATGATCGTCGGTTAATGGGCCCGCAACAATCACTGCGAGGGGGCTGAGGGGGGGGGGGGGGTGAGGTCGGCTCTAGGGAGGAGGGGGGGGGGGGATTGGATTCACGCAGAAAGGATAATTCTATGATCAAAGCCTGACAACCACAGGTGTAGTAAGGTGACTATGAGATGATAGTCTTTACAGGACACGGTTTATGTATATTTACTTTATATTACACATTATAATTAGAGATTTTTTTGTATATTGCTATCAAATGATAATCTATTAGAAGAAAGAGAGAAAAGGATTTTCCTTTATGATTTTAATATAAAAAAAATAATTCTAATTATAATGGGACAGAGTACTGTCAGAGCAGCTCTGGTTACCCTCTCTTTCTTTCTCTCTCTCTCTCTCTCTCTCCCCCCTTGTCCGCGTATCCTCCGTCATGATGGTATCCCTACCTCCGACCCGCGGAGTCCGTCGTCTATATTAACAGTCGGCGGAGTCCATTAATTAACTCAAAGGTTTGTTTCCCGAACGTTCAATTACTGTCCTTGCGGACTCCGCGTCATGTGTGTAATATAAATAAATACTAACAGTTGTATATAATACTAGGTATTTTGATTGTTTGCAAGAAGAAAATTAAACATAAGAAAGTATATAAGCATTGATGGACAGACGTATATAGTAAAACATATTAGAGCTACTTCATTAAACAGTGCACATTCTAAGCATGTACATCGAAGTATATTAAATTAATTAATTACTTAACTAGTCTTTACTCATGACTTCTCCTGTACCCTGGTCATCATCCCAGACGTCCCGGGGGGGTGGGGGGAGGGGGGATCCAATCAATGTCTGTTAATTGCTGCTTTAATGCTGCCTCATTCAACAATTACAGCGCTGTCAATTAACAGGTGAATAGTGATGGGAAACTGTCGATAAATATACTATGATTATTCGACTAATAAAATAATATTGGACGTTACATTTAAATGCTTCTTTAAATCGACTTCATCCCATTCTTTTATTATTATTTTTTTCCTATATAATTCTGTGTATATTATTTATATCGATATCTCCGTTCTCCTGTCATCTCTACCCCTGTATTGTTACACGCTGGTGGTGGAGGTCCCTCCCCCCTACCCCCCCCCACCCTCCAGTTATCAGAATCAATCTGCGATGTAAACTCGTTTAATTTGACGATGAATTCTCTATTAGCAACTCATTATTTTAACTTAAAGGGTAATTATAAGGTCCGTTGTACACTGGCGATGTCAACAGAACTTTTAATTATTATTTATTTATATTAGGTAAATTGCATTATTATGGTGCCGTTCTCAGGTAGATGTATGAAGTCTCTTGCCAGACTCTCAGTCCGTTTGTTTCTTTCTTAGTCGAGTCACATCTTCAAGAGGCTTTTATGCAATTTATTATAAGCAATATATAAGTGTATTCTATATAAGATAACCCCAAAACTTCTTTATATGTATAATAATAATAATGATAGTATTAATTGTTATTAATAAACATATTGATATAAAGTTTAATTAATTAATCAAAGTCAGCGCGTCATTATGTCCACAGCTTTACGTCTCGTTATTTGATTAGAGCTCATAATGTACCAGCGAGGCCTTCGTTAAATATGCTTTATGTGTGAGATCACACACACACACACACACACACACACACACACACACACACACACACACACACACACACACACACACACACACACACGCACATGTTATATATTATGTAGACGTTTCTTTAAGATGTATTTTATTAAAACTACCTCATATATGATACAGTTCTAGAAACTCGATTCATTTATTATATAAATCCAGTTATAATTTGCTAAATGTATGTGAAGGTCGATTGATGACTGATCTTACTTACACACCGTTAATAAATAGTTGTTACTTATAACATTTGACACGTACGGTGTACGGTGTGTAGGGAGGACGAAGGAAAAGACAGCGGAGATACTACTACGAGACAGTCGAATAGAAAACATGTTTATGATAAAAAAAGGATAATTATATTGAGATATTACATAAATATGTAAGGCTTTTTATATTTATATATTTTTTGTCATACTTCATGATAACATATGAGTGGGAGGTGTGTTATGATTCCGTGCGAGCGTTATATGTACAAGGAAAAATTTCATAATAAATATTTTAAAGTTAATTTTATTCCCCAGCTATTAGTAACACATATCAATACCTAAACCTTAGTAATTGTTAAAGACATTTACTCGGTCATATTAAATATTGAGTACCCTACAGTATGTGACACGATGGTTCAGTTGATGGATTGCCTCCAACAGCTCATAGTCGTAGGTTCGTATCATCAATTGTTATTATTTCTCGTGTCGTGTGTATGTCTGTGTGTTCGTGTCATCTCCATCCCCTCTGAATGCCCGGTTGAATCTCATTGATACAAAGTTGATCATACATTTGTGATCCTTCATCTCTATACAAATATAATTAGTTCAGATCTTTGTATTGTGTATATAACTAATTAATGTATGTAATGTATTGAAAGTGTCATATATTATTCATGATACATTAATTTATATTTTTATATATAGTGAGTGTCGTGGCTCGTGCTGTGTAATCAGTGCACTTTCATTACGGAGATTGCGATGAATATTTAACGAACGAGCGAGTAATTACGTTAAAAAATTACAATTGATTTTCAATCTATGCATTTTAATTATAACGCGCGTCTGTCGCATGTCGCGTGACCGGGTCATGTAACTATCTTCGCGTCCTAGGAGCTAGTCTGAACTTCATTAAGATCTTAATACCGCTTCAGCCACCGTCCGCTACTAATGGCGCTAACTTAAAAAATAACCGACAAAAGCTAATGTAGTTTTGTCTAAGCTACTCGTTATTTCCCAAGTTAACTCTGTGACGAGACGCACAAAAGAAACGGGCTGTGAAAGAACAGAAGGAAAAAAAACACCGGCGCGGTGATTGGTCGACGATCTGTGACGTCATACAGGCCACGCCCCCTAGCAACCGTCGCTAGGTCGAGATGAGAGAGAGAGAGATAGAGGCATCCCGGTATAGGAGAGGTTTTATATCGACGGTGAGAAGCGTACCTGCTAAAGGAACCTAACGATCATCACGACACAGAGGAATCACGACCTTATATGATAGGAGGTTAGGTTGATTTTAGTATAATATAAGTCAGTTTTTAAAAGATGTATTGAAGCGGTCAGCCGTGAAAGCTGTTATTGTTGGGTTACCGGTTTACCGATTTGGTTAAACTCGTGTGTTAACAGACAGACAGGCGACTGTTTGCTCGCTCGCACACACACACACACACACACACACACACACACACACACACACGGTACATTCAAACTTATTAATTAGAGATCAATTATATGTGTCCGACTCAACGAGTGCAACTTCACATATATATAACAATATAGTAATTAAGATCAGTTTAACTGAATGTTTTTCGCGTGCCTCCTACCGGCCGCATTCATCTCCAGTGTGAACCGACACGGTGTGTTAATAGATATTAAGTTATTAACACAACGACGTCCAACAGACGAACTGAGACATGAAGTTCCTTACGAGACTAAAACAACTAACTAGCTATACCTAGTACAGGGACAGTTTGATAGTTTAATTCTGTTTGGTGTTCTGAAGTGTGATTCTCTGTGAATAGCGAACACTTGACACAATCGCGCCCAATCAAAGATGAAAAACACTATTGAACGGTCGACGCCGGGAGTTCCCGAGGGGAAAATGCTAATAGAACCCGCGCCTTCACAAACAAAATCACTTCGCGACCCGAAAATTCACACTTTCAATGGGCAATTTCACCCTCGCCTAGACTCCGCCCCTTCGAACCCTCGAGAGGCTGAGAGCTGATCACGGCGACAGTAACGCTCGCGCGCTCGGGCAGGATGGACGTGTCCGAGGACAGGCTGTACGAGGCTCAGACGCCGGAGCGCTCCGACACCAACAGTCCGAGGTCGCAGATGAGCAGCCCCAACTCGGCCTCATCCATCAACGTGACTGATCAATCGATCACACTGACGCAGCACCAACAGAACTTGGAGACGTTAAACCGTATGGGGTTATTCTTTCACCAGCAAATGCATTTAAATCAAAGCTTCGATGCTGTGAAGAGTCGCCTCGGCTTGACCCAGGGCTCGGTCAGCCATGGTCCGAGGCATACTATAGACGCGATCCTTGGACTCAGCGGCAGGCAGAGGGTCGCGGACTATGAGACCAGGAGAGATGACCCTTGTGATGCTGTACCGGTGTCACCTGGAGCTGTGGAGAGCGCCGGTAACGTACACACACACACACACACAAACTTTATATGTATTTGATCTTCTAAATCCTGGACGTACTTATCATTTTAAGATTGTACTGAAACACGACTTTCGTTTAAGTTTGTAGTATTTCATATTAATGTAGATTCGTCTTATATAATGTTAGGTCACACATGTTCGTTTAGTGTTCGTTGTGTAGATAGTTTATCAGACCTCTGTAACTTGTACCATGAGAAGTGTAAGAATAATGTACAACTAGTACCCACTGAGATGTTCCTTAAACTCGTATTCTTTATATTTACAGTAGAAATCTCTTTAATAAGTATAATAGTTAATGAACACATTCAAACCCGTCGGTATGCGGTATCTCGGTACTTATAATACATACATTCTCGTGTTTACTGTCTTATACTTCTTTTCGTTTAGTTATAACATAACATAATTAATAACTATATTTTAAATTTATTTTCATTGATTTTTCGCTCTTACACATACCTATTTATTTTATTTATATTTAAGATAATATTTCAATCCATTTTACTTTTCAATAAATCTCTAACTCTATCTAAATTTTGAATTTTCAAGATAATTTTATAGTAGTTTTCTTTAGTATGATCATTTTTTTTTTGTCTATATATAATTTTATATATATTATCCATCTTTTTCAATCTAAAGAGTATTTATAAAATCCCCGAGACTAGTGCTTATGTCCTCAGAATGAGTTGAAAGAACATAAAATATACTCTACACATGATTTATTTTTAAAATAACAAACTTACCTATTACCTTCTATGAACAATCACCATCTTACTTGCTACAGTTTTCACAACTAATTCGTTTCCATATCTATTTAATTTCGCTTCCTCAAATGTTTGTGCGTCTGTATAGTTTGTTTCTCTATGAAGAACATTTTACTTCAATTTTATACTATTTATAAATTTAAATCATGATACACACATCTTTAAGGTTCTTTAATTTTTTGTAATATCTCAAACTATTATTGACTAAAATCTGTAATTTTTCTTCGTACACCTTTCTAAGGTAATGGCTTAAAAAATGTCAGTAAGAAGAAATAGAGTAACAAACAGATACACTAACAAAATACTTATATGAATGCGTGAAGCGTAACAAACACATTACCGTCTTTTAACAGTCGGGTAAAATGAAAAATATAGTCACGGATAATAAAGGAAATATATGATTTTTATAAAATACAAGGAGATATTAGAAAAATATATAATGTACTTAATACATACTATTTTTTTATATACCTAATTAGGTTTACAAAACGTTAAAATAGGTGTTGAAAGAATTACTTTCGCAACTTTTTCATTAAAAAAAAAAATTACAATATTATAAATAAATATACAATTTATTAAAATCCTGTTATATTTTCTTAATAGGTATATTATATTCAGTTCAAAAACACTACAATAATATAAGTATACCTAGATTAAGTTTTGCGGGAATAGAGAAGTATGGGACGTAGAGATTTTTAAGCTTACAAGTTATGCCTCACTCTATATAAATATATAAACATACCTACATATAACATATATGTTATATATTCATTGTCATGTCCTCGTCGTGTATCTCTCTCCCCGACCTCCTCGCTCCATGTTTCTCAATACATCCGCCTCGTGTCACTGTCTTTAGAAATGATTTAAACTGATAACTTACCACATACATACCTACATACTAATGATTGATAACACACTTTACACACACTCACACACACACACACACACACACACACACACACACACACACACACACACACACACACACACACACAGACACAGACATACATACATAAAGGTGTTTCTACGAACGCTAAGAAACTTTTATTCTTTTAAAAAATTATCTTTTAATTAATTTATTTTGATGAAAATACCTATATTTTTTATTATCATTCTAAATATTGGGCCTGTTATTATAATATTTTAGTTTCAACGTAACTGTTTACGATAATATAGCTTTAGTAGAAATATATAAAGTAATAATTTACTGCCATGGATTTAGTGTCACTAAAACGAAAATTGGCGGGTGATAGCTTAGAACCAGGAGACGGATATAGGATATTTAAATCTGTTCGATCGAAAAAGAAAAAACCTTTTTAAATGCCAATATTTCGTTATTTATAGCCTTTAGGGCGGAATAGAGTTCACCCAGTGAAGTATACGTATATTACTAATTCCGAAATTAACGCGGACGAAGTCGCGGGCAAAAAGTAGTACCTAAATATATAAATAGTATTGCCTTTAACCGGTATGAAGTTATAATCTAATCCTTAATATACAAACATACCTACAGTGTTTGTTACTGAGAGTGAGGCTGGGTGTTAGTAGATATGAGATAGACCCTATCTGTAACAGCGTCACTCACATAGAATCTAGACTAGGAGTAATCGACAGACAGACATACAACTATATATACAAATCGACCTACAACATATATATGGTATTAGGGGAGAGTCGGTTATATCGTACCACTTTTCACTTTAACTCAAATATTTCGACTATAACACGTCTTATAATAATTAATACATATGTAAAATAAAGTTTCATATTTTAGCTTCCTAAGAAGAAGAGAACAGATCCTTGCGATTATTCTAACATTGTTAAAAATGCTTTTTTGTAGAGGCTTGCCATCGGTACGATTTAGCCGACTCGTCGTTTTAATCGTACCACTAAGTCTTTAAATCGTACCATGGCTGTTTAAGTCGTACCACTGAATGAAAGACATTAAAATTCTCAATCAAATTATTTATTTTTAACTGTTAGGTAAGTAATAAAACAACATTATTAATATCTTTTAGGTAATAGAAACTTAATTTTTAACTCTTAGGTTATATAAAGGAACTAGGTATAAGCTTTCTCAGTAAAATAACATGATTATATGTACTATGATAATGAAATCAATCAACATTACTAATAAAAATGAGACAAAAAAAACAGTAAACTATATCTAATAATAAAGTAACAGTTAACAAGAATGTTATTTGGAATATAATTATTGTGCATATTTCTTAATGGAAACAATCATGACAAATGTCTGGATTCGAAGTACACGTCTCATGTAGCCACCGTTTACAGCGAACGCATTGAATCCAATCAACCTTTGGACCCTTCTTATCGTGGTAAGAACAATTGCACTTTCGACATATATTTTCAAGATATATAATCATCGCTGTCATCATTATCATCTAGTTCTACAACAAGTGTCTCTCCTGAATCATCGCTACTGGTGATGGAATGAGATCGTTTCCTCTTATAACTTTCGTTCTTGGCCTTGGGTAGTACTTACTATACGTACTTGTGGTAGGTTATAGGTACTTGCGGTGGGTAGTGGGGTAAATCGTACCAGTACAATTTAACTAACTGCAAGTGGTACGATTAAACCAACTAAGGCATTTCTAAAACAAAAGCAAATATCCGGTATAAACTCAAAACTTAGACACGCAACAAAAACCCCCAATAATCTAGCATACAATTGTGGAATAATAAAAAAACTGAATAACTATAGCTTACCTTGATTACGAGTTATCTTCTTACGAATGTACGACAATATTTATATTAATTCCTACAAAAAATGTTTTTCTTTTATTACTTGCACAGTTGTTAACTCACGTCGATTTAAACTAGTGGGTGAAGAGGGATGGTACAGGGCCACGATTTGATGTTGTCAATGTAGAAAAAAATATTCATTAAATGGGAAATTTAGAGGTGGTACGATTTAAATTCTAGTACGATATAACCAACTCTCCCCTAAATTATACTAGAAGACCCGGCGAACTTCGTATCGCCCTATAATCAAGAAATATCTGTTACTTTTTTTATTTATATGTATTTTTGGACTTTACCTTTAAGCCATAAATCTCCGTGTTTTGAAGTGCGACAGAATGATTGACATATTAGTTAGTTGTCAAATCTAATGTGACAAAAATCGTTTGTATCAACAACTACTAATAAATTAAAAATTAATTAAAAAAACATTGTCCAGCGGACAAAACTGTGAATCTTAACAATTCCCAAATCCCCTTGAACACACACAAAAAAATTCATCAAAATCGGTCCAGTCGTTTGAGAGAAGTTCAGTGACATACACACTCACAGAAGAATAATATATATAAAGATATAGAAATAGACATACAACATATGTATAATATGTACTCTACATATTGTATTATAAATACTTTTATATGTATTTACATTATACAAAACCAAATTTTCTCTGCAGTCAGTGTGTACAACACTTATTTTATTACAAAATAGTTTATGCCCGTGACTTCGTCCGTGTTAATTTCGGCATTAGTAATATATGCATGTATAGCTGACCGGGCGAACTCTATTCCGACCTAGAGGACGTAAATAACCAGATATTGGAATTTATTGCGTTTTTATTATATCCTTATTTTAGTTTTTAAAACATTGTACATATTTATGTAATAGATTAAATTAAATACAAATTATATACTCATTTAAAGAGTATGTTATTTCAATACAGTTTTCATCTCGTATTTAGTTGTACCTACTACTTATACTTTTAAACCGACGGTATTTTATTTTACTAAAAAACGCGTCATAAGTTTCTATAGTGTGAGGAAAATATTAAGTATATATTTTTTTATATTATTAATAATATAACTACATTTTAAGACTTTAAAAGGCTATCTAAGTAGATATAAAAGGTTCTAGTTATACATAAGTTTCGTTGGTGACTGATCGTTCCTACAACATACTATCTTTAACTGTGATTTAGTAGGTACCAATGTACTTAATAATAATTTCTAATAAAGTTTTATCAGAATATGTAATAATAAAGTATAGAGATTAAAGGCTCTGGAATCCTAGCAAGTAGCAATGTGATGTTTCCGAGTCATATGTACTTTCTGAGAGCATTTAGATATCACTGACTGATGAAGTAAAACATCTTGAGGAAACCTGGACTTATAATTTACAATTATAATTTTGAAATCATCAACCCGTCTTGAGCAAGCGTGGTGATTAATGC